TTTAAAAAGTATATTTCCATTTTCTGTTGACTTTAAAAAAACAGAGGTTTGTTAAAAAAAAAAAATCTCACTGGTGATTTTTCCATAAGATTGGGATTAGCTCAAAAAAGACAGGGTGAAGAACCCTTTAAATTTCTTTCACATGTGTACTTGCTACATTGGCCAGGGAGCAACTTTGATCCTACAATCAAAGGGAAACAATTTGGAATTCTTTTAAATATCAGTGCCACACAGAGGGCAGAACCCAAAGGCGGTTTGATTGTTCTGATTCATGTGGAAAGACCAGGGTAGGCTTTAGGCAAGAACGGAGATCTTCAGCTTGCAGTTTGAACAGCTCAGGAAGTAGCTAAAGATTAACAAAGTAAGCAAACTTGTTTGCTGAATAAACTTTGGTAAGTTTGAGGCCAACTTCAGAAATATTGAACCCTTGGACTGTGCTGTGTAGTTTCCATAACAACTAATGACAGACAATGAGGCAGATAGACATGACTCATACAAAATGTTTCGGTCCAGTTCTCAGAGGCCAAATTTGGTCACTGGGAGACCTTTAAAGCACAGAGTCATCTCTGTCTTAGTAATCACATTCAAAGGGCAAAGTGTTCCTCAGGAAAAAGGGATCTCTGCAGGAACCATGCAAGACACACACTCAGTCCTATGCAGGAAACAAGGGCTGTTTCTCCAGGGTCTAGTGTCCACTATGGAGCCTTCTTGAGCATCAGCACACAGGGTGCTACTGCTTTGCCTATAATAACTCAGCCTTGGCAGCTGATATCCACAGGGCATGGGCAGCCAATTGGACCAATGTTGTTGGAGGCTGGGGTCAGTGTTGCTGCTCAGGCTGGTTCCATGGGCAGTGGGTGAGGGCAAGGGTAAGAAAGGAATCCAAGGTCCCTTCCATCTCTTGTCATTCCTAAAGGAACTGCAGAGGCTCACATGCAACCTGCTAGCCATTTCCCCACCACTACCGCCACTATTACAGGTTGTTTCTGAGGCTGCCTCTCAGGGCCCTGCTTTACTGAGCTTCCACTCTGCATCCCAAGGACATTGCATACAACGTGTGTTGTAGCCACATTCTTGCAGTTTTCTGTTATCACCAGCCCATCACAACTTTTCTCCTTATCATATCCCTCCTTTAATGCTGATTGGCAGTGCTGTTCAGCATTTGCCCTGTTGTCCTCCTTATGACTGGGATTTGAAACACTCTTCTCCTGAAAACTCCTGTACTAAAAGGCCTGGCTGCCAGCCACTGGGCTTTTGAAGGCAATGAGTGGATCCACTTCAGCAGGATCAATCCACTGATGACATCACGACTTTATGGCATTATTAGAAGGCGATGAAATAGGAGGTGGGGCTGAGTCAAAGAAAGTGGGCTTTGGGGTTTGGCCATGGGGACTGTATGTGGTCCCCAGTCCTCTCTTCTCTGTGTATTTGTCCTCTCTACTTCCTGGCTGCCGTGGGGTAGAAACAACAGTGCTGATAACATGGACTGAAACCTCTAAAACTGCGAGCCAAGATAGACCTTCCTTCCTCTAAGCTGCTGTCCTAAGGCATTTATTCATAGCAATGGAAAACTGATCAGTACCTCCTGGTTCATAGCTACTTGGCACATAGAAATTGAGTGAGATTTTAAAGATATAGATTCCAGGTACAGTCATAACATGAACTGAGACAAATAATGTCAACAAGTATGAAAACAGTGGTCGGGGTGCCAGAGGAGGAGAAAGGAGGGGAGAGGAAGGGAAGGGAAAGGGATTCGGGGAAAAAAAACAGGCTCTAATATATACATGAACCCATTCCCCAAAGTCATTGTAAACTGTGTGAATTGCAAACATGTACTAATAAAATAAATTTAAAATAATAAAGATGCAGATTCATTTTGCTATTCATCTCTTTGAAAGGCTTCTCCCATTGTACTTCCCTCTAGGAGTAAGATCCAGACCCTAGGAGCTGCTACCCCAGGCTCCAGGCTGCTACCACTCTCTCCTGCCTCCTTTTCTGCCTCTTCCTCTCTTCCTCTGCCTTCCTGACCCTTTGTCAATAAAGAAGAATGTAAATTAGGTCTTCTTCACTGTTCCCTCATACCACCTTGTATTCAGATCCGTGATCACATTCAACTACTACAGATTCATTTGCATTTAAGACTATTGCTTGTCCCCACCTGCATGAGGGTCAAAACTGCAGAAATAAAACCTATTTAGCTGTCATTTTATGCCCACAGCCTAGCACAGAGCCTGACAAATAGTGGGATATATATATATATATATATGTTTAATTCATTTCATTTCCTTTAAATCTAGTGAAGCATGTAGGACAGTGAAGTGACCACTCCTGGGAACCCCTCATTGTGTTCAGAGACTGGCAAAGATTCCAAATGAAAAATACCCCTTCTTTCACCATGTCTGGAAGCTGTTGAACCAAAGTAGGCTGTTCAGGAAGGCTGGTGACACAAGCCCTTCATTAAGGCATGAACTGAGGATGGGAGCACACTTGTGCAGGGGAACCCTAGGCCTGAGTCACTTCCTGCCAGCTCCAGGCACTCCTTGAGTACAGTGCCAGACTAGTTTGGGAGTGACCTCAGAATTACCAGGTTGGTTCGGTGCTTGGTCAGTCAGTCCCAAGTTACAGAGAAGACCAGAATCAGGGCATTTCTCAGGGAAGCCCTGGAGACTGAGAAGAACAGAAGTACCAAAGATGGACTCCTATATATATCCTATATATTGACAATCTGCCTCCCTGCCTCCTACAGCAATTGTAAAATCCAAACCATAAATTTAGTCAGAAGAAATTGAAATCATAATGGAAGAGGACAGGTGAAGTACAGCATTTGGAAACTGAAATGTTGATTGTTTTCTGTTCCAACACCTTCAACTTTAAGTCAGAATGAAGGGGTTCAGTTCCAGAGGAGTGGAAATTACGGGGCAAGTTCATGATGAGCTCATTTATTAAAGAAAGAGCCTCTGAAGTAGATGACGTCTTCTCCATTATCCCATGTGAGGGGAATGCAGGTAGGCAACGAGGGGAATCCCTGTTCTGACCCAGACCTCCCTCACGGGACACAGCCAGGCTGAAGGTTCAAAGCTGTCTCACCTAGGACCCAGCTTTGTTCTGTGCTGTGTGCCTGGAGAATCTTGGAGGCATGTAGGGTCCCACTGAGCAGAAAGAAACATTTTTATCTGCATATTTGACATAGTTAAAATTTGGAGAAATAAAATTGAGACCTGGCCTTTCCTACAACACCAAGTTGGAAACTTTGGAATGAATTGTGTTTCTCTCTTTATTGGATAATATGTTTAGTATAACTCATATGAAATTGGCATTTTTGTACCTCAAAGGCAGGGGAACACTGACAATTTTAAATTACTTGTCTTTTAATTGTCTGTTTCTCCTTACTCTACTATTTTAAATCTACTTTTAGCAATTAGCATACCATCTAGGACATAGCAGAAGCCAAGTAAAAGTTTATTGAATAATGAATAACATAAAATTCTATTGTCTAAAATGCATACTTTTGTGCACAGAGACCTGACATAACTTAATAAAGTAACAGTAGCTTTCCTAAGATATCTTTCTGCAGAAGTGCGTGGTCTCTGCAGTCAGGAAGACGGTCAGAGCTTTACCTCCGGTCCGGACTATGCCCAACAAGTTACCAGGTCACTGTGTTCCTTTCCCCTGTGTAAGTGGGAATGACGAAAGCTGTCTCCCAAACCCATTCTGTGGGTAAAAGGAGATTATCTTTATACTGAATCCCCTTAATAGTATGCACAATCCTTAGCAGGCTATTCCCAATTCTTAACTCTGCTATCAAGTTACCACTTAAAGATAATGAAGCCACTATGTAATTCCTTACAGGAAGAGACGAGCTTTGGAACCGTTTATTGTGAGCATGGGACTCACCTGTGCCGCAATGACTAGGTGCTGAATCAGCTGCAGCAGATTGTAAATTTGAAAAACATCATTCAAATAAAAATATGCAACAAAGCCGTACTTGTGTGGCACTAATTACACGAATGTCTTAGTAAGGTACAGTAATGTCAACTGACTGAAGAAGAAAATAAAAAATTCTAGTTACTTTTCCTCTGTGAGAAAAGGGCCTTTGTAACCAGAAGTTCTATTTTAATCCTGAAAAATAGTAAACTTTCCGTCTTCTAAGTGCCCTATCGCTGCCCTGCCCTGCAAAGATGATAATGGTCAGCAACCCAGAGCTATTTTGGTAGCAAGGAAGGCTGAAATCTCCCTCATCAGCAGGAATGGAGCAGAAGCAGCAAGGCTAAGGCCTTTATGTTTGCAATTAAGTGGTCTCTTTTGATATTTAATAGCAACAAAACAGAATCTTTGTTAATCTAAAACAATGTGGTATGTTATGAAAAGGACAAGTCACATGGAAAAATATCTTAGATTTTGTTTTGTTTCTAAATATGAAATTGTTCTCAATAAAAGAAAAAAATGCTTTCAGTATAGGGGGTAGATTTTCAGATTTTTTTTTTTTTTTGGCCCTACTTTTCTTACGTGGAAATATCCAGGTCATTGTTCATTTGTTTGTATGTTTTACCATATTCCAGGGAAATAAAGGTTTTTGTTGTTGCTGGTGGTGGTTTCTGGTGCTGAGAGTCAAACCCCGAGCCTTGTGCACATTAGGCAAGTATTCGGCCACTGCGCTGTATTTTAACAGGACTTTATTTCATTTCTGAGTTGTGATTATTCACAGGATTGAAGTTCAGTATGATCTTCATTCATTTAAACTTCAACAAATATTTCTTGATTACTTACTATGTGCAACACACAGGTTTACATCCCAGAGACCCAGGGATCAACAAGTAAAAAGTATTTGCACCAAACATGTATTGTAGGTGATACCTTCCCCCTCAAGAACTCTAAACTGTACTTTGTTATAATTTGTTGTGACACAGTGACATGGTTTTCTATGTATTCTGATTTGGTCAGCCTGCCTTGGACAGGGCTAACACACACACACCCCGATACACAAGTGTACAAGCACATAAATACACACATACTTCACCCATATGCAAGTTCAGTTCAGATTCACTCAATCAAATATATATTAAGGCTCAACTCAGCAACAGATGCCGCTGCCTGGGGTGTAGGTGAAATGGACCAAGCTCTTCCCTCCAGGAACCTATGCTGGTTGGAAGAGATGACTGGGAGAGCAATACTTGCTGGCCAAGAGAGAGAACAAAACACTGATAACAGCCAGACCTGACCTGAGAGGGTAACCTACAGGGAAGGCACTTCACTCCACTCATGCATCACAAAGGGTAGCACTAGGTCGGAGGCATCTCAGGGAAGCAGCAGGAATCTTGCTACTCTAAGTTTAGCTTGAGGAGGGAGCAGCAGCATTGGCATCTCCCAGGACCTAGTTGGAAAAGCAGAACCTCAGAGCTCATGGCAACTTCCTGAAGCAGACCTGAAGATATTGCAGTGATTGATGTGCATTTTAAAGATTACTTGGCCCTGTGGTACCAAGTAAGCACACAGGATGAGAGGCTTGGTTGGAAGATACAATCTAGGTTGATGTGACTAGAGCCCAGACTGTTAGAGCAAGGTACAAGGGGCTGACAGCAGTGAAATAATATATGGAAAAGCCATGGTGGGATGAGAGAGGTTCTCTTCACCCAAGCTGCAGCCCCAGTGAGTGCACAGCAATGAAAACCTGCTCCAGGCAGCATCATCCTCCTCTGAACTACTGCTGTTGCATATTTTTCTTTCACTGTACCTGCTCTCTTATGCTATCAGGATTTGTTAATGTGCTTGTCTTCACCTCACCTTTTCTCAGCCCTATGGTCCACACCTTAAAACAGACTCTGCGTCTCCTGTACTGTGCTTAATGAGTAACTGCAATCTTGAAGAGACAGAAGGAAGCCTGTCCCTGAGTAACTCATAGTTCTGCTGTATGTTAGATGAAGCTGGAAGTCACCTCCCTCTTGCATAACAGCTTTGAGCTGCATGTCAGGCCCTTCTGATTTTCCTTTCTGTGGCCTGAGAACCTTCCCCACCCCTGCCTTTCCATCTCCCTGTCACCCAGGCCTCATTACCACTCTGAGTGGAGCAAGCACAAGATAATTGACAACATCATCAACAACAAATTCTGCACAGTGAGAACCCTCTCCACAGGAAATAAGATTTCTGCTTTCAGTGTCAGGTAAAAAATTGCTAGCAGTTGATGGCAGAGTATACCGAAGTTCTCAGAGGTGGGAGACAATGCTAACTTTGTTTCTCACAAGCTAAAGGCACAAGAAAAGCTTCATTATTCCAAGAAACAAGTTCTGATCCTGGACAAAGAAGAAATGACATGTACACATGCAGCAGAATGGAGAGGGGTGAGGCAACAGAAATGCTCACAGCAAGCAGCTAGTGATCAGGGATGCTGGCGGAGTTCTTTTGGGAGCTTGTTTGGAGGTTCTAACATGGGAGCACAGCTACGCCTCTATCCTTGACTGAGGAACTGTCCTCCTCTATTGAGGGTTGGCATTCTCTTTGACCAAGCATGCAGCTTCTAGGGAGGGACGTACACGGAACATTGAAAGAGAAAGGTGATACCTGCCTCGCCAGCCAGGTCAACCAAATCATCCCTGACAGTCAACGGGGTGACAGATGTCGCAGCCAGATTGTCCTCACATCATGGAGAAGTGCTTTTCATCAATGGGCCCTGTATTAAATGGACAAAGCACTAAAGTCTAAGCCCTTTAGATTCCAAAGGGCCTCAGGTGCCAGACTAAAGAAGTTGGGTTTGATTTGGTAAGCCATGGGCAAACTTTGTCAAAGTGTTGAGAATGAGATTATATGTGTAGCATGGCATTTTAGAAAGCTAAATCTAGCTGTTAAATAAAGGATGCCTTCCAAAGTAAGAACACAAGGTCACAGATGCAGTAGTAGCAGCAGAACTCTAGTGCAAGGTGACAGAGGCCCAGCCAAGCAACTGTGGCATTGGGGACAATGATGGATTTAAGATATAAATCCAGAGGACTGACCTAAAGCATCTCCAAGTTCTGCTGATGCTTCCTCCCAGAACCCAACTACTCTCTACTTCCCCTGTTATTTTAGTTTAGACAACTATGAAAACCACCTGTCAGACACACGTTATGCTCTTTCTGCCAATGGGACTGGAATGACCCTTGGAAAGCACAAAGCAGAATTTTGTCATTCTCCAGCTTGAATGTCTCCAACAGCTCTCTCTGACTGCAGCATAACCCAGCGCAAATTCGGTCAAGGCATGAAGTTCCCGCCCATCTCCCTCTTGAGTTCCAGCATGTGCCCCTCAGTCCCACTGCCTGGCACTCGTCCCCTGCCATGCTGTGCTCTTTCCTAGGTGAAACTGTGTTATGAGCTAGTGCTACCATTCTTTCAAATGCTTCTTCTCCAGGCTAGCTCCTTCTTGCCTTGTTCTCTGTGGCAAGGGAGTGTCTCAGTCATGGTGCAAGTCTGCAAAGCCTGCAGTGCTTTGGAGATCCTTCAGAATACCTAGGAAATGGAAGGATGGACCACACTGAAATTTTGCTATTAAAATCTGTATCATATTTTTAGCATCATATTTAAAGTAATGGCTTATTTATCATGTATCCATGATTAGGCATAGGGCCGGGGAGATGGCTCAAGTAGAATAGCCCTTCCCTGGCAAGTGCAAGGGTCTGAGTTCAATCCTTGGTTCTGAAAAAAAAATGATTAGGCATAGACTTTAGGGACATAACTGATGTTCAAGCTGCTAAGTAACCGTTACCCAGCTCCAAAAGTCTACTCTTTGAAGACTAAACCTCCATACCTATGAAACCACTACTTTCCTTTTCCCCTCTGGCAGGCTTAATGTCTACAAATTTTACTTCTCTGGCTTAGCACATTCATAGTGCAACTGTGCACTATTTGTTCTCTTGTGACTAACTTACTTTCCTCAGCATAGTGTCTTCAAGATTCATCCAGATGTCAGCCTATGTCATCTTTGCTTTCCTGGTTGAGTCATGTTCCATTGTGTGTATTAACAATATGTTTTTAATAAATTCATCATTGATAAACATTTGTGTTGTTCTCACTTTCAGGCTAATCCAAATAATGCTACTCTGAACAGGAGTATAAAAATATCTGTTCAAGTCTCTGGTTTCAGGTCCTCAGGGTATACAACCAGAAGTGGGATTGCTGGATTCTTTGCTAAATCTGTGCTTAATCTTTTGAGTAACTATCACAGTGGTCCCTACACTGTCGTTTCCCTTTGATATTCCAACCAATAGTCCACAAGGGTCTCTATTTCTCCATATAATCTGACAATTGGCTCTGAGTTATTAATGTTTTTCTTTTTTTAAGTAGCTGTTCTAATGGCTGTAAGAGTCATGCCAATTTTTAAAATATTCTTATAAAGTGAGGAATAAAAAAAGTCTATAAATTCATTTAGCTTACCTCTTATGTTACATAGGAAGTTGGATTTAGTAAATTAAGTGATTTATTCTATGTCACATATCAGAAGAGTGGCATCCAAAAAACTGTTGTATCTCCCAGAGCCTACTTCCTTACCTATGAAATGGAGATAATATTACTTGTTTTTCAGAAATATTAAAAAGATTAAAAGAAATTGTGTTTTGTTTTGTTTTGTTTGTAGTTCCGATATTTACTGAAAACAGAGGTTAGCACCGACATCCAGCCTAACTGCTGGGCTCATGCAAGGTACTAACCTGATAGTTCTACTGACCTAATTGACTTGCTTTCAGACTAGGGTCTAAAACTGCTGCAGGCTGTAGCTTTTTCGGATACTTTCTAGCCTTGGGTGGGTTCTATCAAAAGGTCAAGGGAACAACAGAAGCAGATGGCCTTCCTGAAACGTGGGCCACGGGGATCTGTGTGTGTCTGGGCTGTGAAGTCTCCACCCTTACCCAGCCTGGAGCCGTGAAGGCAGGTCCCGACGTCGCGCTTGTGCCTTCCTGAGCACTGCTGGCTGCAGACTCCACGTCTGTCAGGGAAAATATGCTGCGATCATCACACGGAGGAGAGCAGCTGTTTCGAGGTGGAGTCTATTGTCAAGGTTCTCTGGGTAACAAAAAGAGGAAAAGGTCTATCAAAGCATTTCCTGCCCGCAGGAGCCATGCGCTTCCATTAATTCTTCTCCCTGAGTCAGCCTGTCTCCCTCAGGCCAGTGTCATTCAGTGTCCACTATACCAGAGTACAGAAAAGGCAGTTAATTTTAAAACCTGTCTTCAAAGTGAGGTTAATCAGAGGAACAAGCTCAGATGTCCATGATATATGCCTATATATTTCATAAGGAGAGTGCTGTGAAAAGATTTGGCTCCAACTTTGGGATTGAGAATGAAGTCTAAAGAATCCCCCCAAAAAATCATGAATATTCTCAGAATATTACTACATTTAAAACATTCACATTTTATAGTAGAAATTAGCTAGCATTTCTGCAGGAATGACTGAATTTTGTGAATTGATTAGCTAAACATAAAAATATTATTTAAAAAAAAGACTGAGTTTCATGAACTAATCTAGGTCTGACCTCAGAGATAGAGGACTGAAATGAGCCTGTTCTTGTGAATAAGGTAGGATGGCACACTGTTTCCAAGAAGGCTGGCATCACCAAGTTAGCAAATGGTTAGCATAGTGTCTCCAAGTGGGGTGAAGAAAAAGATGAGATTTGACAGACACTTCTATAACACAGTTGCCACTGAGAGCTCAGTTAGATGTAGAACAGTAGAACAGTGTCAAGATGCCCTGGCCAAGAGCTTGCCAATCACAAGACACATGAGTCCCTCTCATGTCACTCAACCACCGCCAGATCCTTCAGTGTCCAGGCTGAATGGGAGAACCCTACAGAAGACAAGTGAGTTCACCCAGCCAGGACATCCATGCCAGCCACAGAATCTTGTACTACCTTGAGTGGTGGTCATTGTAGGTTACAAAGCGTTGGGGTGGTTTGCTATGTGGCACAGCTAACTGTTATAGAATCAGCACCTGAAAGAAGTCTGCTAGTTCTTCTAACCGTATCAGGGCCAGGCCAAAGCTTTCCTCAGAACCCTGGCTTTCTCTTTACATTCACTTATATTTGTTACTTCTACTTGTCCGTTAAATTTCTCCCATCAGTGAATAATGTAAGGTCTTTGCCTGCCTTGTGCACTGTGAGTCCAGTTATCATGAATGAGTTTTCCCAAATCTTTTAGCTTGGTGCTCGGAACACTGAGTCTCTGGCTGTAGAGTGAGGGCACATCTAGGTGTTCTGGACCTGCCCAAGCAACCAGCTTGTTTCATTAGCCTAAAGGTGTGACAAATTGGTCTGATGGCAACATTGAGCTTTTACCTATTTAAGTTAAGAATAAGATTCTTATATCAGTCTAGAATAGCAAATAAACAGGGTACAAAGGGATAAGCACTGAAATGGCTGTCCAAGCTATTCAGCGGGGTACAGGATTCAGGTTATGATGGCTTTCTAGATGAAAGAAAATCCTTATGTCAGGTTAAATACTCATTAGAGATGCATTGGCCCTTCTTGATCCCAGAAGCAAGGTGCAAATGTAAGTGTCCTCATCTCCTAAATGTAACAATAAAAACACAATATGAGCTCATACCTATGTGACCTGAATAGGAACAATTTAAAGTGAAAAACCAGGAAGTCCATTACTTTGCTCATTTAATATCTTATACTTGCTTGGCTGATTTATTTTAGTCAGTTTCATTAAATAATTACCCAGTATCACATTAACAGTTGGTATGATACACTCCTAACTTTTTTTACTGATTAAAATTAGGCATTACCCAACAGCCTCTGGTTCCTAACAACAGAGTGAAGCTGTATCCTGCAATTTCTCACACTTCTCAAGCACAGATTACAGAACTCTAAATGATCCCATTCACTCTGAAATTCTTACCATACCAGGTCAGGGATATAGAATTACTTTTGTGAGCAGTATTGCCTTCTGTGTTGGGGTTTTTACACGTGTCCAACACTGTCCCTCCTTTCTTCACCCACATCCAAAGGAAATGCCTGAATGGTGAAGAGAAGGGTCGAGGTGGGACTTGGAGTCTAGAAGGAAGATAGGAGCCCCCAGTCTTAGGTTTCTAACTACAGGTAGAGAAACTAGCAACAGGACTCAACACCATCAGCGAACTGGATTCCCAGATGTTCAGGCCTTCACTTCCACAGCTCTTTCTAAAGCCACTCATGCAACGAAAAGCAAACAAAAAGCTCAGTGGTAGAAGTGAGCCCTGGCAGGATGCTGGCACGGACATGACTCCAGCCCTGTGAGAGGTGGCTTAGGACATGAGTTGTCACTGAGGACTGTTGATAGATCTCTGCTTTGAGATGCTGAAGACACAAAAGAATGCAGAGCTGACTTCAGAGAATAAAAGTTGATACTCCAAGCATATGCCTTATATTCAAATGATATGTATTAGTACTTTAAAAAAAAACAGTTCTGAACCACCTACTCCATATTAGATTCTGGGTTAGAAGCTTTATAAATATTTAACTAGGAGCAAAGGATACAGCTGGACATTTTCGCACACACTGCTTTATGTCATGCTCATGCCGATCAAGAGCAGTAAGCAGGCAAGCTGTGCCCTGCAAGCAAAATTTAGATGGTTTGATACCCAAAGGATGTAACTGTTTCTGCAGATAGATCTTGAAAAGTGTAATAAAGTTAAAATAAGATCATCACAATGAACCTCAATCAAATAATTCTGTGGCATAAAGTGTGACAGAAAATAGAGTATGGTTTTAAAACACTGGAGAAAAAGGAGTAAACAACAGGTAAATAACATGTCAAACATAAGTCAATACATCTCAATTATAGCCATCAATGTAAATGGACTCAATTCACCAATTAAGAGAAATAGACTGGCACAGTAGATTAGGAAACAAAATCCAACAATATGCTATATACAAGAAACACATTTAACTCATAAAGACATTCATAGGCTGAAAGTCAAAGGATGGAACACAGTAGTACATGCCCCAGCACCTCAGAAAAAAGCAGGGGTAGCAATTCTATTCTCAGACAGTCTCAACTTCAAACCAACAATGATCAAGCAAAATAAAAAAGGCCACTACATACTGGTTAGGGGAAAAATTCAAGAGGAAGAGGTAACACTCATAAATATGTATGCACCAAACACGGGACCACCCAACTATATAAAGCAAATCTTAATGGACATGAAAAATCTAATATCCAATACCACAATTTTAACAGGAGACCTTAACACCCCCTTATCCCAAAAAGATAGGTCAACCAGACAAAAAGTTAGCAAAGAAATAATAGAACTGAAACAGAACTTGAAACAAATGGACTTGGTGGACATATACAGAGTGTTCCACCCAAACACAGCTGAATACACATTTGTCTCAGCTGCACATGGGTCATTTTCTAAAATAGAGCACATACTGGTCAATAAGTCATGCTTAAGTATATGCAAGAAAACAAATTATCCCATGTATATTATCTGACCACAGTGCAATGAAACTGGAAATAAATGACAAAAGAAAGCAGAAAAATCCCTAAACACATGGAAATTAAACAACAATCTATCCAGCAACCAATGGGTCACAGATGAAATTAAACAAGAAATTCAACAATATCTACAATTAAATGAAAATTCAAGCACAACTTACCAGAATTTATGGGACACAATGAAAGCACTTCTCAGAGGGAAATTCATAGCTGTAAACTCACACATTAGGAAAACAGAATGGGAACAAATAAATACACTAATGCTGCACTTCCAACAACTAGAAAAGGAAGAGCAAAACAAACCCAGTGCCCAAAGATGAGAAGAAATCATACAGATTAGAGCAGAAATTAATTCAATTGAGATGAAGAAAACCGTTCATAGAATTAACGAAACAAAAACCTGGTTCTTTGAAAGATTAAATAAAAGCGATAAGCCCCTATCTAACCTGATCAAAAAAAGGAAAGAAAAAGTTCAAATACAAGCAATAAGGAATGAAAAGGGTATAACTGCCACAGACCTAGTGGAAATTCAGAAGATTATCAATAGCTACTTTGAGAATCTTTACTCTCACAGAATAGAAGACACAGAAGGAACAGACAGATTACTAGAAAGGTACAAATTACCACAACTGAATCAGCAAGATATAACCACTCTCAATAGCCCAATTACAGCCAATGAAATATGAGATGTAATAAAAAAACCTAGCAACAAAGAAAAGTCCAGGTCCGGATGGATTCACAGCTGAATTCTACAAGAAATTTACAGAAGATGTAGTCCCTCTACTCCTCAAACTGTTCCATGAAATTGAAAAGGAAGCAATCCTCCCAAAATCATTCCTGGAGGCAGGTATGATACTGTTACCAAAACCAGGGAAAGACACAACTAAAATCGGGAATTACAGGCCAATCTCCCTCATGAACAGAGATTTAAAATTCCTCAATAAAATCCTAGCAAATAGAATACAGCAAATCATCAAGAAGATAATACACCATGATCATGTAGGTCATGGGATGAACTCCTTGCATCTCAGGGATGCAAGGATGGTTCAATATTTGAAAATCTATAAATGTAATACACTATATCAATAGAATGAAAACTGAAAACCACATGATCATCTCAATTGATGCACAAAAGGCTTTTGACAAGGTCCAACACTCATTCATGTTCAAAGTCCTACAGAAAATTGGAATAGATGGCCTCTACTTCAATCTGGTAAATGCCATTTATGAAAACCCAATGGCTAACATAATTCTAAATGGGGAAAAACTGAAATCTTTTAATCTTAGATCTGGTACAAAACAAGAATGTCCTCTATCACAACTCCTATTCAATATAATTGTGGAATCATTAACTAGAGCCATTAGACAAGAGAGAGAAATAAAAGGAAGAAGAATAGGGAAAGAAGAAATTAAATTATCACTATTTGCAGATGACATGATATTTTTCTTGGAAGACCCAAAAAACTTCACCAAGAAGCTACTAGAATTAGTACAGAAATTCAGTAGCATATCAGGATGCAAAGTCAATACCCAAAAGTCAATAGCATTCCTCTGCAGAGAAAACAAACACATTAAGAGGGAAATTAGAGAAACAATATCTTTTACAATAGCACCAAGGAAAACGAAATATGTTGGAATTAATCCAACTAAAGAAGTCAAAGATCTTTTCAAGGAAAATTACAGTAATCTTAAAAAGGATATTGTAGAGGATTTCAGAAAATGGAAAGATATTCCATGCACCTGGGTAGGAAGAACCAACATTGGGAAGATGGCCATACACTTAAAATTACTTTACAGATTTAATGCAATCCTTATCAAACTACCAACAACATACTTCACAGACAGAGAAATCATTCCTAAAATTTATTTGGAATCAGAAAAGACCTAGAAGAAGCAAAGACAATCCTGGGCAATAAAGACAAGGCAGGAGGCATTACAATTCCTGACTTGAAATTATACTACTAGGCTACTGTGATAAAATCAGCATGGTACTGGCATCAAAATAGACCTGAGGATCAATGGAATAGATTAGAAGACGCTGAAGTCCCTACGAACACACTCAGCCACCTTATCCTTGACAAAGGGGCCAAACATACTCCCTGAAGGAAAGATAGCAAAGTGGATTAAAGATCTAAACATTAAAGCAGAGGCACTAAATCTCCTGGAAGAGAAAGTAGGAAGAACTCTTGAAGACATAGGGGTAAGCAAAGAGTTCATGAACAAAAATCAAATCACACAGGAAACACTTGAAAGAATTAACAATTGGGACCTAGTCTTATTGAAAAATTTTTGCACGTCAAAAGAAATTACCAGAAAAGTGGAAAGACAACCCAAAAATTTGGAAAAATATCATGACAAATAAGTACTCAGACAAAGGTCTGCTCTCTAGAATTTAAAAAGTACTAAAAAACAATAGGGCGCCAAAATTTAAAGACCCAGTCATGAAATGGGCTCTGAGATGAACAAACACTTCTCAGAGGAAGAAATTAAAGAAGCAAATAAGTACGTGAAAAAATGCTCCACATCACTAGCCATCCATGAAATACAAATTAAAACAACATTGAGATATCAGCTCACCCCAAAAAGAATGGCTATCATAAAGAAATCACCCAACAACAAATGTTGGAGAGGTTGTGGGGAAAAAGGAACCCTTCTCCACTGCTGGTGGGAATGTAGACTGGTGCAACCATTATGGGAATCAGTGTGGAGACTCCTTAAAAACTAGGACTGGAAATTCCCCTACTGGAAATTTTCCCAGAGGAACTGACAACATCATATCATAGTGATGTAATTGTGCCTATGTTTATGGCAGCACAATTTGTGGTAGCCAAAATTGGAAACAACCATGAAGCCCATCACCTGAGGAAGGGATGAAAAAGATGTGGTATTTTTATACAATGGAGTATTACTCAGCTATAAAGAATGATAAACTCTAAGTCTTTATATTTAAGTGGATGCCACTTGAAGATATATTTGTAAGTGAAATAAACCAGAAACACATGTAAATATCATATAGTTTCCCTAGTATAAGAACTCAAAAGAAGAAATACAAATAGAAAGGTATAATACAATTAAAAGGAAAGGAAAAATTTGAGGACTAGACAATGAAGAGAGAACAAGGAGAAGAGCTAGGAAACATGACAGAGGCAGTCTATACAGTTATATGTACAAGATGGGTAAGGCAATGATCCTGAGAATGTTCAGACAATCTTTGAATCAAGCAGTTATCGGAGTGATTGTCACCCTGACTAACTATATATACAGACACCTGTGAACTAAGCAACTGCACTGAAGATGGCAAATTGTAATAGTAGGTTCATGCTTGGAGTGCCTGTCATTCTCGTCTTCTGAATACATGTTGCTTGTCATGACATGCCAGTTGCTGCTGTGCTGTCTCTCTGGTAGATGATTGTTTAGAAATGAAGGGGGTGGTGAATGAAGGCAGGAGACAGGAAAGGAGTGTTGCAGGACTGTCCTGCAACAATATTGTATATGGTTAGATTTCTGGACTTATGTGTAAACATATATAATTCTTTAT